CTCAATCGAGAGTTCTTGGACGACGTCTCGGAAGTTGTTCACATAAAACTATTTATACTGATGAACTTCATCAGAAGCACGGGTTGGTTCAGAGAAGAGACAGACAGAGAGTGAAGGTACATTAGGTCCAGTGGTATAACAATGGTTCACCTATAGGCCTAGGTGCGTCGTTCGGACGGCCACTCTACCAACCTATCTACCTATAAGCGAGTAAAGCAGCAGATATCTATGCATGTTTATATCGGAATATCCGAGAATATCGTTTCGATATTTGATACCAAGCCAGCGTGATCTTTTTAGAAAACAAAGAGTTTGGGTAACAACAAAACCTTTCTACAACTGTGTTGGACAATTTCTAACTGAAAACAAGTTCAAATTTAAGATTTTATCTTCACATCAGCGTGCCCGTTTATATACCGGTACCGGTATGAAGTGCGCGTTAAGATACAAATGTGTTGGTAGCGAACATTTGTTGTAAACGAGTCTTAATTTTTTTTTGTTTCGTTAGCATGACAGCTGTCAAATCCTTTAAATAACCTTACAGTCGTTGAAAAAAAATCATACATTTTCATTGTGTTGAAAATGTCAAATTTTATACTGGACAGTGTTGATTTGCGAAATGCATTAATTTTTTATTTTCATTTGAAGAAAAGTGCTGCAGAGCGGTATCGAATGCTGTAATCACCAGACTTGGCCCGTACCGATTACCATTTGTTTTCATCGACGCAGAAGTCGAAAATTGGATGTCTGATTGGTTTGATCAATACTTTGAATAATTTTTTTTTTACTTTCCTATTCAAAATTAGTATTTCATTTTCACAAAAAAAATAAACGCTATACGCTACATCGGTGCCTGATGCAATATAAAAATATTGATTCTAGTACAGTAATATCGGCTAACGATTTCCAAAGCTAATCTTTTTAATAACCAACAGTTTTTGTATGGTTAAACTATTCATTCTTATCTTCGAGTTATATCACAAGCTCTTTATTGTGCATACACAATAAAGCTCAATATTATGAAAAATCGACTCACACATGAATGACATCTGCACATGTAGCACATATTACTTTGAGAACTTTTAACTTGTAAGCAAATGTATATGCGTCTTGAATATCACATTCAGAATGCAGTACGAGACTTAACTTATGACCTTTTTATACACTAAACATTTGTGAGTAAAAAGTCCTTGAAATATGTCTTTAGAAGAAATGCAAGTACAAAATGCAAAAGCAAGTATATATATTTAAACGCCTAACAAATTGTGCTACAATGTGAAAATGAGAAAAAAAAAAATTAAATAAAATAATAATATGGAAAAGTGTGTAGGTGTGAAAATGCATTGTTATTTGTGAAAAGGCTAACAAAGACGAATACTGTTATGAAGTAGATGCCTGAAATATTAATATAGGCAATGGTAACTGAAGGACATGAATGCATGCCTATGGTGCCTATGGTATATGGCAGGTTTGAATTTCTCATGGCAAGTAAATATCTACAAACTATAATTGCCAACGCATATTTATTTCTGAACTGCTCCAAAAACCACAAATCAACACTCTAGAAATACGTGTCTCCGAACGGCTGACGGTTTGAAGTCGAATTTTTGAGCGGCGACTTCTAAAGAGATTGTGATTTTGTCAACGTTGCGCTCAACTGTTGCACACTACACATATTTGTGGGCGTAATCGAGGGCATGCGCTTGGTGGGACTTTCTTGGTTTTAGCAAGATGACGTGTCAACCATAACTGATTTTTGTTGATCTTCGATTTGTAAGACCCACAACCAATTCGACACTGTTTAGCTACAAACCGCTTAAATGTGTTTAGTAACAAAATAGCAAGTTGCATCTAAGTGTTCTGTAAATTTACACAAATACACAAACACACACACATACACACCTATGTATTTATGTGCATTTTCGATTAAAATATTTTCTAGCACTTATGCTTACTTTCATTCACTTTCACTGCTCTAACCGCAGTGTACACATATTTTCATTTAACAAACCAGAGAACTCAACTTAAATTGCCAACTAATCCTAAAACCGTTTGGTTTGCATCGCTTACATGTGTGTGTGAGAATTAACATACATACATATATGGTTGTAAATGTACCTACATATATGTGTTAGTGCGCACATCTTATTGCAAACGCTTGGCAGCTGCTGTGGAATGTGTGAAATCACAGACTTTTCGGTGCACTGCTCTCTGGTTCTGGTATTTGTCGGTACTTGGCACAAAAATTCACACAAACATGAGGTTCGCATGTTAATGGTAACAGTATGCTGTGGTCAGCACTGCTTTCATATACTTCCGTTCACATTTAATCATTATGTGGTTTCCTTATTGATATACTTAGATCACTTGAATTTGCTTTCGCTAGAGCACGAAGCTTCTGTGCTTTTTAATAAAGTGTGCATATCTTAATTGTTCGTCTGGTTTACGAATTCTCAAGGGGAAAGCGAGTTTACAAATCTATAAGTGTCAAAGCACCCCGTTTGAGTTTTTTTCCTCGGCCTCCGGTTAGATGACATCGACGATAACCAAACTGAAACTTACCACACAAGCGGGGATTAAATAACCGTTATAACAACAACAACAACCGTTTGGGTTAGCAATATTGGCTATATGGTTAATGTTCCGCTTAATAATACTTGCGGTAAAATAATTTGGAGTATGAATTTTATCTTTAATTTCTCTTCAAAATTAGTTTTCGTAAGTTTTGAAAAAATTAGCATAATTATCAATTCTAGTGATGTAGAGCAGGTAAATTTGAGGTGATAAATTTAACTACGCAGCCACACAACAACAACATCCATAAAAATTACAACAACTCATAACACTGTATTTCTATTGTAACCAACCAACTTGCCCCAAGTGAGCTATAGCCTAATTTGTCTGTTTTAGCGGTTTATAATCAAGCTTTCCAGCATTAACGCGGTGCTATAAATATTTTGCCTTTTTTTTATTATACAATGAGTGATTTGGTACCATCTTTATATTTTGTTGTGCAGTGTTATTAGCATCCTTTTGACATTTTGAAAACGCAATTTTACACCGAAGTGCCTTTTTTTTTTAAATATTTAGTAATTTTTTTTCTTCTCTTGCACATTTATATAGCTGCAGATAACAATCATCAATCTCTAAAACGGTATAATATTAAGCGGACACAATCTGGAGAACATTCGTTAAGTATATTGCGAACAAAATTGTTCTTTATATAAAATGTATGGGCATTAAGATGATCCTTAAAAAAACGGCACAACTATTTTTCAAACACAGCTCGTTAATCGCTGATGCCGTAGACAAAGATTTTTTAAATATATATATTGAATCCAATTTGAGTTGTCATTTTTTGTTGTTATTAAATGTTTTTTTTTCAATTTAAATAAATTGTCTTGAGTAACCATAAATAAAATTGTTTCCTGAACCATTCAAAATGAGATTAAATTTGTATATGCAAAATATGCAACTAAATCCTCATGCATTTAAGGTTTGAAGTTTCAGAGAGCTGATGTAGAAATTTCCTTTTTTGAATTTAAGAGCCAACCTAACACCAAATAGCACTATTCATACATATGTACACACGAATAAAGAATATTTTATTGCCGACTGCAGCAAATCGCAATCGACCAACCACATTGATTACACTAAATTTATGAATATCTGAAAGCAAGCGGCAAACTGTTGCATACCAAAAGGCGGCAGACGGTTATATGTGAGTTTAGTGGCATAACTGCAGGCTGGCAAGCCCAAACACTTTCACGCTTGCTGCTTCGATAAATTGGCAAACGAACTCACAACTCAAGTCAAATACACACAACATTTGGGAAAGAGCAGAAGGGGCGAGAAATGTGGCTAGCAAAAGCACTGAAAATTTACTGCCAGTATCAAATTGAAAGCGAAGCGCGCAAAAACTGCTTGAAGCGGGAAAGCAGTAGACTAAGAGTGATGTATAGATATTCAAAGCAAAATATTGATTTTCAATTTGTATGAGACAAACCAATGCTGAAGCAGCTAAGGAGTGCAGACAAATGGAGAAAAATAAATGCAATTTGGGCAGTTATGCTGAAAATGCAGGCTCAAATTTGGCAAATGAACAGCAATGCAGTGCCCGAAAGTCATTAAAAAGCATAAAAGAGTAGCATAGCCAGAAAAACACTGCCAAACTAATATTTAACGCCACATACATACACACACATCAAAGAATATGTTTGTATGTGTCTAATCGAATCTGTTTGAGGTACCAAAACGTTGCATCGAAAGGCAATTTGTGGCTAATAAATCAAACTACATACGCAGCAACAACAAATCAACGTAAAAGTGACAGCTTGATAGTTAGTTAAGGTGTGCGGAACGTTAATGTATAGGCCGAACTATGTTAACATAATGAGACCAACATCACAGTGCTTACGAGTATGTACCTCTTGAAGAGAAACGAAAATTTTTAATGCTTAGTTAGGCGTTCGACTGTTGAACTATGCATTTTCAATAATTACAAACTTCCAACAATTCTGAGAGGAAAACGAACGGACAGTTACGAAGACTCATAGCAGATAGTAAAGTAGTAGCAACAGGCGTAGAAATTAACAGATTGCACAGTAGAAGATTAACTATTGAGCTAAAAAGCAAACACTCTACATAACTACGAAGCGGTACTTTAGTGATTTAATTGCATTGAGCTTATACCAATAAGGAAACAAAGCATGCTACAAGTGGAGATTCAAAGAGCTATAATATTTTGAGAAATTTAATAAAAAAAATATACGCTTGTTTACACATAAATTACCTTTTCAGTACCGTTATGTGTGGGTATATAAATATAAAATATAACTTTAGAAGCACTCACCTGTACATCAAAATTTGGTGGTTGTTGCTGCAATAAATTTCCAGGAGATTCAATTTGATTTGGTCCTTGTGCCTGATGGTTCATCATGGGGCTCTATAACACAGCACATTAAATTATAACATATAATATATATTGTAAATGCATATATATAATATAAATTAGTAATTATTTTTTATACCTGTGCCATTTGCATGCCACCAACGCCGTTCATTACAGGCGGTTGCAATTGACCCATTTGCATTTGATGTGGCGGATATGAGTTCATTTGTGTACCCGGTCCACCTTGATGATCCATGGAATTGAGCATGTGATTGAATGGATGTGTTGGGAAGCCACCATGTTGTGTGGGATCGAGTAGTGCCGGATTACGTGGCAGCGTTTCTTCAGCCGGCGAAGGCTGACGGGAGCCAGGCGTGCGACTGCAATAAAGAAATGAAAAAAATTAAAAATATGAAAGAAAATTTTAGTTTAACTTATATTCTTATTTATTGTTTATATATGTAAATTGTAGATAATGTTGAATAGATTTAATATATTAGTTACAGTAAATATAATATTATATGTTATTTACATGTATTAATTCTAAAATGTATACAATCGTACCATATTCATTACAATACCAATAATTACTATTGAAATAACTGTATTGACCGCAACAGTTTACACCACTAGACTTGCTGCAAAGCCATAACAGTTTGAGTGCTAACGAAACGGCAACATTAGCAGAGAAATGCACCATATGTATACAACTTTTGCGACTGTACTAAGCAGAGACACACGCGGTAGTATGCAAGCCTTTGCAACGCCGCATTTGGGACAATCCACTTTCTTACCCACCACGCCATGCTACCTTAACTCTCAAACTGTTTTATGGAATATGAATATTGTATGACCAGAGAACTTAAAAGAAAAGTTGTTTTAAGTTCTCTGGTATGACATGCCTAGTGACGTGACGAACCAATAGCTGTGTAGCTGGCTGTAAATAACTGTAAACAGTGGTACTCAAACACTGCTATGTTTTTAAAGCCATGGTTGCTGTCTAAGCATTTTGTATAAAAGAATATTGCACATAAATTTGTTTGTACGTATCACTTAAATTACGTTTTTTATTGCAATCAAGAAAAAATTGTAGCCAATTATGTCAGTTGAACAACATTTACATGATACTTCAAACATGATACAACCAATTAAGTGAATATATCATTAAACGGCATTTAATACTGAGCAACTTAAACCAATGAATGTGACTGTGTCAACGAACGATTAGCAGCAAAGCACACGTTAGTTGTCAGAATGAGAAAAGATAAATTGCCAGGTATTTAATTATGCAGTGACTATGCGCAGCACACAGCGACGAGAAATCCATGAATGGCATTATTAAAAAAAAAAAAATAATAATAATAATTAATTTGACGCTGTCTAGGTCAGTTACTGCAACGCAAATGTATGTGTGAGCTGAATGAGTGATGTTGAGATAACGCAATTAAAAATATTATGATGTAAGAGAATTGTTGAATAATAGTGAGGAAATAATGAAATAAAAAGATTTTTATGAATAACGGCAGTAGTGTTGTTATTGTAGTAGTGTTTTTGTAGTAGTATTATTGTAGTATTGTTGTTGTGGTATTGTTGTTGTGATATTGTTGTTGCAGTAGTGTTTTTGTTGTGGTATTGTTGTTGTAGTATTGTTGTTGTAGTATGGTTGTTGTAGTAGTGTTTTGTAGTAGTGTTGTTGTAGTAGTGTAGTAACGGCTGCTTATGTGGAAAGCAAAAATTGCACGTGATGTCATAACTCAATTGCATTAACAGATAGTGACGAGATAGTTTGGGTGGATTTTATAATTTTTGTTGTTGTAGCAGCTTAAAAAACTCAGTGTGTGTGTGGAAAGAAATATTTATAAGTCGACAATCCTGGCTTTTCATATATCTCGAGAAATATTTCTTTAGTCGCACTCTGATTCATATCGTATATACTTCACCAAAGCCCAGAAACTAGAATCTTATCATTGCGAAAAATGTCAATTTTAACGAAAACAATTTATGTGCTATGAAACGTATAATACATATGTACATCCTTTGCATGGTGGCTGTGTGCAAACGAAAGACTTAAGCAAGAAACTTGCCGAAAGCAGCTTAAAATGCAAAATAAAAAGATTCCAGCCAAAAACTTTAAACGAAATTACACAAATTATTGCAAAAACAATAATGTGCGTTGCCAACTAGTTCAAAAATGAGAATTCATAAGCTGATAAGTTCTCCAAGTATGCCTGTTTGTAGTGACTAAGCGTGCAAAATGCACATAATTTGAACATTGCCGCCACATGCCTTCATCTGCGCCTTGGCGAATATTTTGGCAATAGCTAAATTATATAACACCATAAAGTTGCAGAATTTATACACATACACAGACACAGCCACGCGTACGCACATGGTCGTTTTTTTTTTTGGCTTGGCGTTGTGTTCGCTTCGCCGCTTCTATTGTTCGCCTTCCTCCTTCTTCTTCTTCTACTACTACTACTACTTCTTTTCCAGCTGCGCTCGTTCGGCTAACTTCCCGCCTTTTTGCCCAAGTCAAACACGTTTTCCGCTGCTATCGCCGACCGCCTCTGGCGCTTACTTTTTTGTCTTCTGTTGATTTTGCGTTTGCATTTGCTTTTGCTTGGCTTTGTCTTTGCGCGGCAATGTTTTCGTTGTTGGGTCATTAACACAAAAAAGCTGCAGCGCCAACTACTGAAAGCTTAAAACAGCTGCTGCTGCGCGAGAGCGTTTTGGTGTATGTGTGTGTGTGTGTTACGCGGCCAGCAGCCGGCAAAAAACGTGTTGTTGGTGGGGCGTGAGTCAGTCAGTGACACAACAGTCATCAACTAACTGGCAGCTGCTGTCTGCTAAGCATTGCTACTACACACACGCACACATACACATGCACATATGTATATATGTATGTATATAAAATGTATATGTGATATGTATATTTACGGCAATTACAATATATTATTTGCATTTTTCGCTTTATTGTTGTTTTTGTGTGCATTGTAATTGCTTTCGGCGCGTGATTTTGCACGTTTGCACACTCAAATTATTACCAACGTTACCGTTATTGAATTTTTTTTCATATCTTATTAAAATTTTCATTTGATTTGCTTTTTGCCTTTTAATTAATTATGTAGCTTGATGGAAATAATAAGCACTTGCAATCATTATTAGCTCATAACTTATTAATTGTTGCGTTTTGAATAAAGCAAACTAAGAATAAGACAACATTAATTGCAAAGGCGGTTTATTTTACACCATTTGTGGTGGTATCAGCTGAGAAATTTAATTAAACGCGTACAATATGTTTAAACAAATTGAAAATAGTTTTGTTAACGGTATAGTAGATCAAGCGAACGGTAATTTCCGAATAACGGAAAATTTTTGCATTCAATGGTGGTCGTATTATCGTGTACACACTGTAATTTCATTTATTTCTATTGTGTTTATGCCATTATTTATTTTATTGAATACTTGAAAGTAAACAAACGCAGCTATAAACCGTTACTTTCTAACTTTCATGGCGTGGGTGTCGCTGTCACATTAACTGATTTCTTTGAAAATGCGACACTTGAGCAATTATTAAAAACGATTCAGTTCACTCTTTTGATTTTTTATAAAAGGCAACATTTTAATTGTATATTTCCAGTAATTTCAATAATGAATATGTTCATAAAAGAAGTGGAAGAAAAATATTTCCAAAGTAAGTAAGTAAGCAAGATTTGCTTTTTCCGCTCTTCACTCAAATACTTGTGTAAGTATGTCGTATGATATTTTTATAACCCGAACGGGGTATATTTAATTTGCCTCGCAATAAAAACTACGTCAGCTAAGGCTCTGGAGGTTATCCTTGACATTCGACCAATACATATGGTATACAAATGAAGTATAAGGCAATGCTTAAGGCCAGTCGGTTCATGATTTTAAGTCATTGGAGTCAGACTCGGCGTTACCATGGGTATGATATGTCATAATGAATTTGGGCGAACTTAAATTGACAATGCGATCGGGAAAGGGAGACACATGAGGAAGTAAACACAACGTGTTCATACTCCAATAGAGAAGAATTGACCAATGGTTCTGTGATCGACAATTACAACAATGAAATCTACATATTGATCGACGGATCAAATAGAAATAGGAGCGGGTTTACTTCTGTAGTAATCCATACACAGAAGATAGCTTCAAACGCAATCACTACAATTCAGTCTTCCATGCCGCAATTGCGAGCATAACAGAAGGCGCCAAGTGGAATTCTGCTTTAACCAGCAAGTCCAGAAGTCTTCTAATGGATAGCTAAGCGGCAATTACGGATATCCGTAACACCAATGCTAAGTCTCACTGTGTTAGGTTTAGTAAGCAGGTAATAACTAGACTCTAAGTAGGTAACTGGCTGAAAAGCTTTTTCATTTGACGAGTTATTACGGCATGGGTTATTCTCTAAGGCAATAGCACAATCCCCGAACAAATTGTTCGAAGCGGACCAATATAGCATATAGCTTGATCGAAATCAAATTATTGTAAGGTAACGTTTGTATTTGTGAAGAGTAGGTTGGGTTGGGTTGTAGGACTTCGGTGTAACCGAAGTTAACTTTTTTTTTTCTTTTTTTTCTGTGATACGCGTAGTATGTTCAACAAACTAGGCTATATGTTTAGCAGAACTTCATCTCGAAAGCTGCTTAAGTTTAAGTTAACTCGGAATAAATTAGAGATTTTTCTCATATAAATTAATATTTTATATAATAAATTGATGTCATGCTTGAAGAGACTGTCCCATTGGAGGCATATTTAGTCTAAGCGAAAATATTTATAAGACGATTTTATTTCTTCATAAAACAGAATTAGCTAATTTATTTTATTAATATTTCACACTCTCTTTTCACTTGAGGTTCTTCATCGACGATAATTCAACGACTACATATCCGATTGCGTTTAGTCGTGTTAATTATCATCACAAAGGGTCAAGTAACCGTTTAGGCATGGCATTCACAATTTATTAACCAATTTGTTCTCCCATACCGCAAATATAAAAACGCACCCTCGTAAAGCAACTAATAGCTGAAAAGTAAAGCGTTAATGGAATGCAAAAAAAAAAAATAAACGTTTTTTGAGAATTTGTAATTTAAAAGTTATTCACCTAAAAAGCTGCCTAAAAGTAAAAAAAAAAAAAAAAAAAAAAATAAATAAAACAAAGCTTACTTCAGATTCCTCTTTATTCATACCAAAAGAACCAACAATTTTAAATTGCTACACATAGTCATTAAGAGTTTCATATTAGTGTATAAACTCTGCACTAAAATCAAGGCTTTGCGAAGTCAGACGAACTACAAAAAAGAACGCCAACAACAACAACCAGCAATCAAGTAATCAAATGTGGGCAAGTAAACCG